GGCCCACAGTCGCTATAGATGCCGTGGCTGTGGCTGAGCAGATGAAACCCCGAACACGAATTGAAGGGTCAGCCTTGGCACGGAAACGGGCCGCAGCCTGATCGCCGCGGATGATGCATCGATCAAAAGTCCGGACATGTGAGCGGCCAGGAAGGTCTTTTTGATTCTGGCATGATGGGTGCTGGTGATGTCTTGTTATCACGAGTGTTTCGCTTAGGACGCCTGACGATTGACGTGTTGCATGTCTCCACTGATCATCCGCATCAAACGCGTGGGTCACATGAACACTTACTAGATACGGATGCCGATCCATGGAACAAAACATTCGGCTGGTATTAGATCCTCCGCGAGGTCCCATTTACTGTTATCTTAGAACCTAGGTATAATACAGGTGCGATGCTGCCGACCACGAACTGGAATGTTTTCTCTCGTCCACCTATTCTTACAGATCCCTTGACCCATCCTCGCCTGCGTCAAGGGAACATGGGGCCACATGTCAGAACATGTCTTCTAGCTAATACCAGCACCTGAGCACTACTCAGCCCAAACTTTGTGCCAATAATGGACAGTCGACCTAGCAGCCAGTCGCGTTGCTCTTGTGGTACGGTCTCGGCGTTTGCTGCGACGTATAGTGGCCATACCAGCGAGTATCCGCCGAAAGCCTCCGCAGCTGCAAAACAGTTAGCGCAATGCTTCACATCATGTTAGCAGGAGTTCGACTGACCATTCTGCTCTTGACCCATTTCCTTCGCCACGGGTTGCAACTCGTAGTTCATGTGGAATGGCACACATGCACTAATCTCGTCCACCATCATCTGGATGACAAACACGCTCCTACTCCACGTCTCGTCGCCATCTGCATAGTTGCCACCGATACTGAGCCATGTCACACATGCCATGATGACTCTTCGACAGAATATCCGACAAACGCGGTAGTCATTCATTATACTCGCCAACGACACGTCATGATATACATGTTGCTCGCCGGGCCATCTTTCAGCCAGCGCGATCTCCTCGGGTGCGATTGGATCGCTGCAGACGCCGATGATCCGATGTTTCCACTCTGGAGGCAGGGTGCGGTACCATTCTTCGAGGTTCCCGTCGACCATTTGTGCAAGGTCGAGGATTTGCTTCGCTTCTGATTCGTAGGCGGAGTCGTATGGTGTGGTAGTGAGGAGATTTGCACGGGCGCGGAGGTTTGGGAGGTCGATACAGATGAGTGTCAGCCGATTGGCAGCATTTTCTTCTGAGATGTCGCCGTTGCCGACCCAACCTCCGGTACCAGGAAAAGAGTCGATGGGTTTCGAGCGTTGAACGCAGCTTGTAATCTATTCTTCGTTAAATTATGGTATCCAAAAGATGTGTTATTGGTATTTACCATCATTGTTCGCACGGCGCGGAACATTGCATGTGACATTGGATCGTTGAACTGTTCGATTCCTCTTAGTTTCGTTAATGCCACAGCGCCGTCCACATGATTTCCCCATGCCGTGATAGTGTCGTCTGTACTCATTATGGTCTGATGTTCGTTAGCTCAAAATATGCATCTGGGGGTAGACAGCCAGGTTATTGGAGGCCTGCAAGAGATAGCTCGTTCACTTACTTCATATAATGAAAACATGAGAACAGCCAGTACCGTCTCATCGCTCTTTGCCATCGCAGGATCTTTCAGATCGTCGTTCAGTTTCTTGATAGCCTTGCCGTAGGTGGTTACCGCTTCACGAAGGAGCTGTTGTCGGCCAGGATACTGACCGCATGTTGCCATCGCAACAGCAGTAGTAGCCAAATGGAGGACCGAAGATGGGCGGGCACGATTGTAGAGTGGCACCAGATATTCTAGGTATCCTCGTGTGCTTTCGGCCTGTTGTGGCAGGGTGATGAAGTTCTTGAAGAAGAACGGTACGGCTTCGCATTCTGGCGCGAGTGTTATGGTTGGCGGTACTGCGTTTTCCAGATTCCACACGAACGCTTCGAAGTCGAAAGACTGGTCTAGAGACAGTGGTGGTGTTGTATAGTTGGACAGAGCAAGTATTTGTTGTGATGGGCTTAAGTCTGAGGGTATTCTTGATCGTGAGGTGATTATTTGGAAGGCTTTCTCCCCCGGTACTGCATTCTCCCCTGGTGGTACATCGAACGTCGAAGAAGGTGACCTATTTGTGTTAGCGCGTACAAATTGCAATGTGGGTCTTCGGCTTGCGACAATCACATGCGAACACTTTCAGAACGCATACCGCCTACGAGGGTACCCATTTGCTCGGCAAAGCTTATCGGTATCCCCTGTGCACGAAGCGGATCGACATGGGCAGAATGATGTAGTACATACAGATGCGGCGAAGTGCTGGAGCTTGACGCACCGTTGCTATTGCTCGACGCGGTCGTTCCGGAAGACTTCCTCGCCTTCTTGGCCATAGCTTTGTTCTCATCTCGAAAGACCAGGTCGAAATCATCAGGATAGCCGGGACATACTCGGGCGGACTTTTTGCAGTTGCCACATGTTGGTCGTTTCTCGTCGCACTATGCACAGTCAGTCGGCGAGCCAAAATGCGGCCTCAGGCAAGCGCATCCGAATACGCTCGGAGGCGATATTGCTAGTCAAGAGAATAGAGTAATTGTCGCGAGGTAATACATACCTTTATTCGGCGGCTTTTACACATCCCACACCCCCGGCTCGGCTTTCCGGTGTAGACCATCGTGATACGGTATTCTAAGGAATGGAAGAATAGAAGAAGGCGACAGGAACAAGACTTAGGCACCAAAGACAACACCTGCCTTCCAGATTCGGGCCTTCGGTTCTGACTATAAAGATGCCGTAGGTAAACAACGATATTCCTAATCGGATTTCAGGCAACTCCGCCTCTGAAGCCTACGACTACGATCAAGCCTATATTACCAAACGATCCAAGCGACCAGCTTCAGCTCGCCTATATCTGACAAGCTCTGTAGATGAGCGCAAGGCCGACTCCCATGCACCGAGGTACGCGACGATAAGCTCAGGAAATTGACGTCGACGTAGGTTGGACAAGGCGTTCGGCCGGCAGTGCGAAGACTCGCTAGGGAAAGAATTCGCGATCGGACCACCCAGCGTGTAAGCAGCGTGTATGATTGGACCTATCAGAAGAGCAAGAAGGCGATGACAGGGCTGCAAACTTCATTCTGAAACCGGACGAGGGATGGCATGGCAGTCCGAGTCGATTGGTCTGCCGCACCGAGATGCCCACCGCAGGAAGCAGCCGTTGTGGTGGTTGAGTTTTCTCGCAAGCACCACCAGATTGGGCTTAGCGCGGCGCCCAAAACAGTGGCGCAGCATGCTGTCGTCCCTTTCTGATATCACCAGGAACGCGACAAGACGTGACAAACACAACTTGAGGCGTTTCCAAACGTTGCTGCCTGGTGTCTTTTCTGCAGGTACCTCAGGCACTGACGCAACCGCTTACGTATGTCGCGTTTTGCGCTTCTTTGGGATCATACACGCACTATGGGAATCGCCGGCTCGTCCGAATTGGCCGTTTAAGCCGACTGTCAGCGATTGCGCCATTGGCGCAACGTGTCCTCTTTTTCAAAATGTGAAAGGAGATGGGTTTCGATGACGATATGACGTAAAGAGGCCGGTGAGAGATGGAAGACGTAGATGGGAGGTGCGCTCTCGCAGCCGGGCATGGACCAAAACAACAGCAAGAACGCCAAGAAAATACCTGGACACGCAGCAACCATCGCAACCGAATACAGGGAGTTCATCGTCTCCTCGAAGATAACAAAGGATAAGGGAGCGATCCAATCTTCCGCAAAAGCGCATGTATGGAGATGTCTATGATGTCGAAATAATGCTATCACCCAGCCGCTCGTGTCGCAGTCGGGCCAAAACACGTGCACAAGACGTTGTATCCAGACACGAAGAAAGATGCGCTTGCTACGCAACGCGGGTTACTCGTTATGAGAGAAACACGCAGGAACCGCTGTTCTTTATTAATTGGCCAACAGCATGTTCGGCTTCTCCATCGGTTACCGAGTGGTCTATACCCGGCCAATCAACAAATCGGTGCACAACCCCTTTTGCGGCGTGGGTCCTGCAGGTCGTTGCAGATGAGAGCGTGTAATGCATTAAGATGCGAAGCCATCAACGGTGATTGCGGCCGCCGAGCAAGATGCAACTCGCGAACTTGTCGCTCCACCATCACCAACCGCGAGCTGAATACTCGACTTTGAAGGAGTCCTGGAGACCTTCGGAATGTGTGGCTTCATGGTTCGCTCGGCCCAACAAGACCACAGAGCTGGGGTAGAGTTGCAGATAGGCGCCTACAACAATCCGTATCGAGAGGACACATCGGATTGCTTCTATGATTAGCGCCAGCCCCAATGCAGTGATGCGGCGAAGATATCTATACTTGTTCAACTGACGACACCACCACGGGAACGTATATTATTTGGAACTTTGCTTCGCCCGCAGCACCGCATCCCCCACTCGTCGTCCCACGAATGCGCAGGTATAGGGAATATCACTCACCACTACGCCGACCACGATACACACACTGATTCTGTCAGCAATGGCCTATTCTTTTCATGGAAAATGGTACTACACTGCAGTAATAGCGTCCATCATTCCTCTGATTCTTTGGACATGTCGCCAATCTACCCTGACAGCCGTATCATGGAATCTCTCCGCTACACGAACAGCCGACTGGGAAAACAGGCGACATCAAGTCAAGGAGGCTTTTATTAGTAGCTGGGATGCATACTCGAAGTATGCTTGGGGTTCGAAAACCACATTCTGATATTACAGGAGATCATGCTAATGCGGTGCAGGCCACGATCAATTCCATCCAATTGCCAAGAAAGGCTCACTGATGAGCAAAAAGGGACTTGGCTGGATCATCGTCGATAGTCTCGACACAATGATGATCATGAATCTTACATCACAACTGTCTGATGCAAGACGCTGGTTGCATCGCAGCCTAGACTATGATCAAGATCAAGATGTCAATACATTCGAGACTACGATTCGCATGTTAGGTGGCCTCCTATCTGCACATTATCTTGCTACTGTGCTACCCGGTGTCTCTTCGCGACGAGATAGCGTGTATCTGACCAAGGCTGTGGATCTAGCCGACCGGCTGCTTGGAGCATACGATTCGCCATCTGGTATACCATACGCGAGTATACACTTAGCAAGCCGAAGGGGTCTTTTGTCCCACGCTGACGGCGGGGCTTCATCAACAGCCGAAGCGACAACACTGCAACTCGAGATGAAGTATCTATCGAACGTCACTGGCAACGGGATATACTGGCGCAAAGCTGAAAGGGTCATGGAGGTTGTCGACAGTGTCAACGTGCACGATGGGTTAGTGCCTATCTTCATTACGCCCGATTCAGGTCAGTTTACAACACGAGAGATACGTCTAGGAAGTCGAGGCGACTCATATTATGGTAAGCTATCTAATGCATCCAGTCGTTGATTGCATACTAATTGTCGTAGAGTACCTCATCAAGCAGTACCTGCAGACCTCCGAGCCGATCTACCTCCAGATGTGGGAGGAGGCTTTGACAGGCATCCAGAAACATCTCATCATCCCTACCAAGCATGCAAAGCTCAGCATCGTCGCTGAATTACCCAGCGGAATCGGCGGCTCTTTGTCACCAAAGATGGATCATCTCGTTTGCTTCCTTCCCGGTACCATCGCACTCGGAGCAACAAACGGACTCACCGAAGCTGAAGCCCGCCGCCTACCCAGTTGGAACACCGAGAAGTCGCAACAAATGGCATTGGCAAGGGCGCTTACAAAGACCTGCTGGGGCATGTACAAAGTGACCGACACCGGTATAGCACCAGAAATCGTCTGGTTCCGCGCAAGCGACGAGTCGTTGCGGTCTAGAAAAGGGATGCCGCGCGCGCCCTTGGCGCGTAGCTCGGACTCCGAAGAGGTCTGGAAAAAAGACTTCAACATCAAACCCGTTGATGCGCATAACCTCCAGCGACCCGAGACGGTAGAAAGTCTGTTCATGATGTGGCGCATTACGAAAGATCCTATCTACCGAGAATGGGGTTGGGAGATATTCCAAGCCTTCTTGGAATACTCGACTGTTCCCCTAGGAGAGGGCTTCACGTCTCTCAACAATGTGAATGCTATTCCGCCTCCGCGACGAGACAATATGGAAAGCTTCTGGCTGGTACGTGACACGTTGGCGTTATTAGTCTTGGTACTGACATATTCTGCTAGGCCGAAACGCTCAAGTATCTATACCTGCTCTTCTCGCCGGACGATGTTCTTCCCCTCACTGATGTAGTGTTCAACACCGAGGCGCATGTGTTTCCTAGAATGGGCATGGGGAAGTTTAAGACAGGTTGGCAGCGCAAGCCCAGGAAGAGTGCGTGAGGCCCGTCAATACGAGATGTTGTACCAGAATCGAAGTCATCGACGCCCGGAACAAGCATACTTTGGGACGCTGGCGCACTAAATACGTATTATTGCATGTTGAACTAAGCGCCACTTATTGAGGTATACAAAGTTGAGCTTAATTTGAGCCTTCTGCTAAATCTACCTCTTATCAACGTCTGGCTTTCGCGCCATCACCCAAACAAACTCGGAATCGTAGTCTGGTTCATCCTCATTCAAATTGCCATCGCCTGCCTTTACTCTCTCCACCTCCAATAGCTCGAAGCCTACTTGTTCCAGCATTTCGCAGTTCTCGTGCACTCCATAACTGCTCCAAAACATTCCGTACCCCATCATCTCGCCATGTATCTCTTCTTCATCAACTCCCGCAAGGTTGAAAGCGAAGAGACCGCCAGGCTTCAGCCAGCTATAGATCTTGACGAGCATATCCTTTAGCTGGGAGCGAGGTAGGTGAAAGAGTGTGTAGAAGCTGAGTGCACCGTGGAAGCTCTCGGGTTCGAAGGTGAGTGTGGTCATGTTACCAGCTATGAACTTTGCATGCGGGCAACGAGCTTTAGCCATCTCGATTTGCTTCGCAGAGATGTCGTTGGCCGTCACTCGAGCTCCGTTCTCAAGCAACATATCCAGCACGGGCACGCCGGGACCACAGCCGAGTTCTAGGACGCATGGTGATGGCGGCAGTCTTTCAAGAACTTTCTTTACGTATCGTTCGCGCGGCGACTTATCACATTTGACCCATTCAATGTACCATTGTGCGATGTGATCATAGGCGTTTTGAACGATGGCTTCGGGCGTTTCAGACATATCGGCGGATTGTTCAACGAGCAGCTACTCAGAACGGTGGCGGAAGATACGCGTGGTTATTTCCAGTGGATGATGCTGCGGATGAAGTTAGCTTATCAATGCGCTGATGCATGGGGCAACACTAACTCCGGGCGTAATGTCGAATCAGGTGGTAATAGGAAACACAGGTGACTGTCGAATAGAAGAGCTACAAAGGCACTGCGGTGTTCAACGGGGATACTGTCGATGGAGACAATGTGTTTATTGGGCACCTTACCCAGTATTCTGTCTGTTTGGTGATCTTGGGAATTCCGCACTTGCAGCGGAATACCGCAATCACATGGGAAGTCCGCATTCATATGTCCAGCGTATTGAGTGTGTTTTCACATGATGCATTGTGATCAGTGCGAAGTGGACGTCCACCGCCCAGACCGCTTCTCTTTGAGATCAACATATTACTCATTACGTCGATAATGAGAATGTCGAACAGGCCAGAACCGGGAGGATGCTCGTTGCAAAAACTGTGTTCCATCTCACCACCTCGTACGAAGCAGCAGTTATTGAAAACCCAACTAGTGATTATATCTGTGTTTCCAGGGCGTCAAGCCGCTTACCATCAAAGAACAAACTGGTTACGCCTGACCCCGAAGCTCCCCGATTCTAGTCGCACATGCGAAGTATATGGATTCGCGCTTCTTTGTCTGACACAAGTCTGGGGTAGCACATACCATGAGTAGCTCAGCCACGAACCATTGTGTTCCTGTCGTACAAAACATAGTGCTTGGAAGCTTTTGGTCGACTGGAATGTGCGGAGGCGGCTTACGATTCATGTCACTTTTAAAGCCGACATGGTGCAACTTAACTTGCAAAGCAGCAAGACACACTTTCTAATTCTAGGTAGATACTGCGTACCTATGCAAGCCTTTGGTCGCACTGAGGTATGATCTTCCCACATCCGAGCAGTCAGCAATCTGGCAGAATACACGTGATTTTGTATGGAAGGAGGTAGTATAAAGGAAGGCTAGATCTTCTTTGCCTAGAGAAAACCAGCATTGGACGTCAATCACACAGCTACCGAGTCTCTCCTCACCTCTTTTCTTCAGATACCAACATGAAACTCTCTATCACAGTATGTTAGGTGAATATACTACCCCTTCATTTCGAAGTGATCATACATCGCAGACACTGACCTTTGACGTATCAAGCAGGCCTTGCTGTTGATCGGCCTCGCAAGCCTACTCACAGCTGCACCTACCCTCGGCGTCCGCCAAACCGGCGCAACCCACAAAATCACCGTCTTCGCGATGAATGACTGTCTGGAAAGATTTCCGCCTGATCCTGATGTGCCAACGCAGTTCAAGTCACAGAACGTTAGATACGGACAATGCTACGACGCGGTCGACGCCAACTACTTTCTCAGCGGGTTTCTCAGCGCGGAAAGCGTCGCCTTGGCAGGGAGCTTTCAGCCACCAGCATCAGACAACGTGATCTGCGAGACGAGAGTATATTTCCAACCCAATTGCGAGGGAGACCCAGCTTTGACAGACAATTATTCGGGGAAGTGTGTGAATGCGCGTTTGAACGTGCCCGATCAATTGGCTGATAGGGCCGGGCTGAGTATCAGGGTGGATTGTTGCAAGGGTGCGGCTGATGGGAAGAGTTGTTTGTATGTTCCAAAGTATATGAAAGGCTGAGGAACGAAGTCGGCAACGGATGAACTGAAGTCGCGGCGTCGATATACCGTTGATGAAACGCGGAGAACGGCATTTTGAGATGACTCGGTCTCTGTACTCAGAACACTCATTTGGTTATTTGTTTCTTTCTTGTCTTCCTCAAGCATAGTACAAGAAGCTTACACCTTCTCGTAACACCTTGCGAAAGTCAAACCTAGCCTATACACAATGTCAACAATTTGCGGGCCCACCGTGTCGCGCTACATTTACCCTGATAGCCAGTCTTTGTCTATGTACGAGTGCTGAGAAGTGGAGTCAGGTTGCGATGTCAAGTTCCGCATGCCCTAGGTACTTCCGACGCCAACGAGCAGCACAACATCGCTTCGGCGCGGCCGCGACTAACCAATACGCGAGGTCGAAAAAGAAAAGTAGCTTCGGACGACAGCCACCACAACCACAAAACATTCATGTTCATGACAGACAAGTCTGGACTTCGTCATCAGTTCACGATGTGGTTCAGGTCGGCTGCTGCACGTACTCTCACGGCACATATGCAGGCTGCACCTCCGCTCCGCTCCGGTCGCATCGCATCGCATGACCGATTCCACGCTATCGGTCCTACCTCGTATAGAAATTCATTGGAAAATTCCTTCGGCTGCCGGTGCGAATGGTCCCGCATACGCGCAGCGGAGTGATCGATGTGCGGATCTGCCCAGCGAGGTCGAGACTGCAAAACAGCACCGCTCACACATTTCAAGTTGAAGACATCTCCATGGCGACGTCCCCTTATCATATGCGCTGTGCGTCTCGCGTGCAGATGTAAGCTGCTTTGTTCCTGCGTCGATCCCCGAAAAACTCTATTATTAGCTAGCCCTGCTTACACCTTGGCATGGTGGTGGGGTGAACTGTAGTCTGGTACCGTAGCGGAACAACGCACGCGACGTGTTGTCTGATTGAGAAGGAACGACGGCTCGGGAATGAATCGATGATAATTGCCAGTCCGTCTCCCCTAGTGTGAAGCAGCTCAGTACAGCGATAAAGAATCGTGCGAGGAAGCGAGCAAAACACGAAAGTAGATCTCGGTAAGCAACCTAATCGAGTGCCGAATAACCGCGACCATTGCACTCCAGGGCTCTTAATGCGCGAATTGTTCGGTAGTAATTTCTTCCGTCTGATGTTCTCATTGGATCAGCGCAAAGCTAAAGCCGTGGACTAGAAGAATGCAACGACAAAGCTATTCTTATCGGCTCTTTGTTGACCGGCTACCTATCTTAGTATGAGGATACAGAGTCTTGGTGGTGTACGCTGTACCTGGGCGGGCCAAAATAAGGTAAGGCTCGAGCGACCGCCGAGCTGTCCGCAAAGTCTTGTCACGAGCGCTATCGCCGCTCAGGGGAATGATCAGCGTCGCACAAAAACCGTCGTGTGTTAGCGCTGCAGAGAAATTTGGGTCGGCAGCGTGCGCGTGGCCGCAAGTTTTGTGGGTGTGCTGTCAGGGACCAACCAGGGCTAAACACTGCATGCTTGCCCTGGATGGGACTCGGGGCTGCCGCTTATGACGCTGGAGCCCGCTATTTTCTTTATTTGTTGACGGATAGGCGTTGTGGGCTTGGCCAAACCTGGAGTAAGACGGAAGGATGTCGGCACTGCAAATTCTCGTGATCTCGAATGAAAGGCCGTTTCGTGGCTTGAGGGATGAGGAAAAAGTCCGTTCGCAGCGCGCTTCGGTTGGAGGCTGCCGATTTATCTCCCGGCGAATCAGGCGACCATGAGCTCGTTTAATGGCTAGCGGTGCGTTATTGACGCATGGCATTGCAGTCGGTCGCATGAGCAAAGTTCTGGCATCGCGGCTGACTTTCCTGGAACTGCCAAATGCGATGGTGTTCTCATTGGCGGGGCCAAAAACTTGGGCTGTGTGTGTGTGTGTGTGTGTGTGTG